CCAACTTTCGAATTTGAAGACAGATTTTGACGATGACGAAGTAGGAGCTCTGCCGATTGCTTCGGGGAACCTTAATAGTCCCTTCAGAGTAGTACTGTGGGCGTAGAATTGTTACTCTACCTCTGCCCAGTTTGACGTCAGTGCAAACATTGTGAACTCCGTTACTTTTTGAAAAAGTTAGTGAGAACGACTTTGGTCGTCTCCTGACGAAATATAGAAAAATATTTCCACATCGAAATTCATTCTTTGCGTTCCCTGGATATGTCACTCCAGAAATGCAATATGCCTTAGACGACTATTCCCTTAAAATTGTCCGGAATTTGGCAAAGTCCGCATGCTCTCAGACATTTGGAAGGTACTGGAGTTCACATTTTGACCATTTAAAGTGCTCTAGTCACCTACTGTTGCAGTATTCTTAGGTTTTTAGTGTTGCACCAGGTACTATTAGTGCTTTCGAGTATCTAGATGGTATAAAAACCTTTTCAAACCATATCACATAGTTGTGAAGGGCCGCGGAATCTAAACGGCCCGTATTCTGAGAATCACCCTACAATTTTTCCGTTGTGGTCACGATACAACCAGGCCCAACTAAGACCTGAAAACGAAAATCCACTGACAAATTCAGTAGATGATTTAAGATTCCTTCAAGCTGAGAAGCACTAGAAATACAAGGTAATCCCCCCCTACTATTTCATTACTTTTTTAGAGATTTTTTCCATTGAATGAAAAAAAAATATTATAAAATATTTGAGAACATTAAAATCCAACCTCCGGTCCGGAGTGTATTCTAAAATGCAAGGAAGGGTAGGGGCTACTGCCATGACGACCCGCTGCATCATTCGATCATGTTCTTCAGGAAATCGCGTGACAGAAATGGTCGGGCCGCAGGCCCGACTACCGCCGCCGGCAGGCCAAGCAGGCCCGGCCCCTGCCGAACGGAGTTGCCGGCGGAGCGAAGCGGAGCTGGCAACTTCGTTTGGCGGAAGGGCGGGCCTGCTTGTTGGCTGAGCTATAGCGAAGCCTATTACTCCAGTGATGATCAAAAAGTTTCGCGTCTGTCTGTTTGTCTGTCTGTAAGCACGATAACTCGAGAACGGGTTGAGCTATAAGGCTCAAATTTTTATTGGCTGAGCGATTAGCGAAGCCCATTACTCCAGTGACCGGAAAAGTTTCATTCTGTTTGTTTGTTTGTATGTTTGTCTGTCCGCACGATAACTAGAGAAAGAATTGAGAGAGCGAGCTGGGAATTTTTGTCCGAAGGACTCTACCTTTAACAGTTACCCCTTAGGAGAAGACGAAAAAAAACAAATTGTTACTTCTAACTTTTTGGACCAACCCCTGTTTCTTTATTACCCCTTTTCACCCCCTTAAGGGTGGTTTACAGGATTTGCCGCAGGCGTTTCGTTTTCAGGGAGTGAACCTAAAGATACTCTGAAATTTGTAGACCTCTAGCTCATCTCCTTCCTCTTACACGCACGAGGAACAGACGGACGGACACGAGAGCGGTTGCATAAGCCTGCCTTACTGCTTTTTAAAAGCAGAAGGTCGGGCTAAAAACTTATTTTCTTCATGTTTTTGATGATGGATTTAGTCTCAGTGAAGCCAGTCAAGCTGAAGCCACCTCAGCTTCACAGGCTTTACTGAGACCAAATCCATTGTGTGATTCTGCTTTGCCACTTTCATTAAGGGGGCAGACCTGTAAAAATCATCAAAAAACTAAATTTTTTTTTATAATGCCTCAAAAAATTCTTTGATCTTTCCTGTTTCTAACGCCGCAAAGCGGATGTTGAAATTCGAAAAATTGCGCTCAGGAGAGCCCAAAACGTTCGCGGGTGGCCGGGTGGCTGAACCGCCGCGCCAGGGCTCGCCTGGCCTCTCAGGACACAATACACGACGAGGAAGGAGTCCTCCAGAGCCCCGGCATCTTTTAGGACCAGTTCAGTTAGTTGCCCTGTTTTTTGGTTCGTCGCCATACATAGGCACTGAAGACTTTCAACTCGTTTTTTTCGGAATGACCTTTAACAAACGGTGTGCAACCTCCAGGCCGTAGTTTTGGAGCTATCGACTTAATATTTGGCCCGAATGTTGTCCATCCATGTGCCCCGGATCTGACAAGGGCGATTCTTTATAACTCAATTGCACACTGCAAATTGCTTACGAACTATAGGTTCGTAATGTAAACCAAAACGTTCGTAGTTTACGAAGAATTTTGAAGCGTTGCATTACGAACTAATTGTTCGTAAGCTTACGGACAAATAGTTCGCAATGCAAACCGATTGTTCGTAAGACCCTGTCTAGCCTTAGAAACAATTGCTTTAGTGATTAGAAACAATCGCTCTGCAATACGAACAATTTCTTTGCAATACAAAGAACGAAAATTGTTCGTAACGTTGCAAAGTATTTAGTTCGTAAGCTTTTTACAGTGCAAGGTACCCAAACCAGGGAAAAAGTACCCAAATTTTAACCCATTTTTTGTACTCATTTTTTGGGAATTTTTTGCGAGTATTTCGGAGTGGAATTTCAAAAAACCCTCCCGTCAGATCTCAGATAAATGTTTCAAGAGAATCTAGCAAATTTTTTCACTGTTGCAAACCCAACGGTTTAGGCACAATCGTGCACACCGCAAAGACCTACATCGGCTCCAGTTCAAGGCCACGCTGGCCATGTTTGTGGAGGGGTCAGCACCGCTCAGTGGATAAATTGTGGGGCCATCTTTACTTTATACCAGGTGGCTGATTCACGCCGCGCACTTCTGTAGGTATACTGGACCGCATGCACGAGTGCGGGCGGGCTTGCCTATTGCCCCTGTCCACGGCGCCATACGAGCCGAGTGAGTAGGCAACCCGCCCGCACTCGTGCATGTGGTACAGCATAACTACAGAAGTGCGCGGCGTGAATCAGCCACCTGGTATATACGCGCAGTACTAAACCTCTGAGTCGCCCCGTTTGTTTAAAATATTTCCCCCCCCCCAAACCCTTGTATTTCACAGGTCTGCCCCCTTAATTTTATTTATCCTCGTCTTTCTTCTCAAAGGTAACGTAAACCAAGCACATAACAATCAAAGTACCAGCACAGAAGTAGTGCTAACAGATGGAACCTCTGACAAAGGTAACACGTTACTTAATTTATTTTAAATGCTTCAAATGCTTGCCAAATTAAAAACAGCTCTTTTGCCAATAATGCACACTGGTAAAACAAGTGTTTACTGTTGCACGTCAATTGATGTTTAAGTTAAATTGTGCATTTTCGCCAGGCTAGCTTAATCGTCAATTGGTGTTTAAACTTTCGACACCTCCCAAAAGTATAGCAGCTGCACACCACACACCATATGGTTCCTTTTGATAGCATAGAACTGTGTGTGTCCAAGTGTGCAGAATTTAAACATTTTCAAAACGTCTCAAATTTGCACACCACGCAAGTGTGCAACTTGGGTGTGCAACATCATAACTTGCACACGTTGGTGTGCAAATTTTCCACACTTGTTTTTCCAGTGTGTAACAGTATGTTGGAGTCACATGATACTGATCAAAACAGTAACTTTTTTAATTCTCTGTTTTATCAGTTTTTAATCTGTTTCAAAAAATTTGTTTAGGTAATGCCAAGAAACATACAGGACAGCGTACCAGTGCCAGAAGGGCTGAACTAGAAGAAACAATTGCGGAAGGTAGCATCTTATTCTATTGGTTTTGACGAGAATAATTCTCATACATCTTACTGCACATAAATGTTACCTGGGCTGTAATAACAGATGTTGTTCTGAACTGTCAAGCTCTTAGCTGTACTTGTTAAGTTTTGAGAGATCTAATGAAAATAGATTTGTAAAAAGATTATAATGTCAACATTTGTTTTGCAGAGGATTGTCAATTTGTCACCTTGGATATCAGGAATCCAGAATGTGAAGATCCTGGTTCCTCAGAAGGATTTACCCTAGGTGCGGAATCCAACTGGACAGATAGGTCTGTTTTGGAGAATGATGGTGACAGTGTTCATGAGGGAGAAGGTTACACTTTCACTTTCCCTGATAGCACAGGTAAGATGTGTTGAAACACATTTAGATAAAAATCACTTTAGGTGCTAAATTTCTATTACATTTAAGAGAAGAAGGTATGGTGTCCCATTCAGCTGTTGACAAAGCCGTTGATGGTGAGAATGATTTATTTTCAAAGTTCAGTGAAACTATCAAGGTGAGATGCATTATTTATTTTCCTGAAGTTGAAAGTAATATTAAGCTGCTAGAATAAAGCTTGTTATTAATTACTTTACAGCTAGATTATAACCTTGAGTTTATTTTGTTAACCCTTTAACTCATGTCATACCCAAATCACATTCACTTTGAAGCCCCTTTTACGGCGCATTTTCCCCCATAGATGATTTTTCGGAGCACGAACGCGTTCCTCGCAGGCGCGCAATGAATAGGGTATTCCAGGCTATCCAAAACGGAAGTAGGAAAAGAACAAACTCACTGACTTTTCTGTTTCCGTGATGACTCTGATTGGTTGAATTGATCACGTGCCACGACGGCGTTTCAGGTATGAAAAACTATCAGGTCAGTTCCGAGCTCGCTTCCATATTTGAGAGGTTAGAATCGGACCAAACTACCATGGTAATTTCTCATACTGAGCAGGCGGAAACAGGTCAATCGGTGAGTTTGTTCTTTTTCACTTCCGTTCTAGATAGCCTGGAACACCCTATTGAACTCCCCGTCGGAATTTCTGGCCCCACCCAGTGCTGCCTATTTCCTACCTAAAGTCACTAAATCGCACACAGCGAGCAAATTCTGTGCTTGTTCCTTGAGGCTGTCTGGCTGCCTGAGAACGCACCCTGAAATTTGAAGCATTTGTTCCAGCAAGGTTTAGGCGCTGGACGGCGTCAGAGAAGCGCATTCGTGCTGCGCTGGCGGCCTTCGGCGGGCCATAGCGGCTGGATAGGGTCATTCAAAAAACGTTAACACATCGTGTAAACTGCGAAACGAACCCTAGATGATGAAAAATAAAGTAAATATCCTAATGTTAATTGGCTGAGCGATTAGCGAAGCCTATTACTCCAATAATGATCAAAAAGTTTCGCGTCTGTTTGGCTGTTCGCACGATAACTCGAGAACAAATTGAGCTTGCGACCTCGGATTTTCAGAGTCGTTTTGTCATAAAAAGACAGATTGAGTTCGAAGAAGAGCATTCTACCTCGAAAATTGGATATATAAAAAAAATCACAAACCACAGGTCTCCAAAATGACGATTTTTAAAAATATTTTTTTTACTGTTACCAAAGGGGTAACTCTTCAAAGTAGAGCCCTTTGAGCGAAAATTTCGTCTACTTGGCTCTATCTTCACCCGTTTAAACACCAGAGGGAGTTTTCTACACGAAAATGGCCGCAAAACATTTCTACTTTTGGGGCCAAATGCCTACTTACGACTTTGGCCCGACTCGGGTGTCAGCGCCGCAGGCCTAAGGAGATGTATGACAGGCGCGTCGCAGCGTAACAGTGTTTCGTGAGATATCGCGAAGCCTGTTACGCGAGACGTGGTCTGGCGTACATCTACCTAGTAAAATAGTAAATATTTTCAGTTGTTCGGGATGTAACAGTGTTGTAAGTTAGCCTATGCTGGCAGCTCATATTGCGTCATAACCCCTGCAGCATGAGATGGTATGCCTACCTGCAACACTGAACATAAGGGTGTTTAGTCTGACCAAGGCACTGACCACCCGGAACCTGGATTGAAACTATGTTGTCGGTGTGGTAGCATGAATGTGTGCACCGCAGAAAGTTCGGCTGACCACCGGAAAGCTTGGTGGCTGCAGCATTCTAGAAATTTACTCATTTCGCTCTCTGTTTTGGGTACACTCAACAAAGGGGCGGTGGGCCGGGCCTTAGCCTTGAGCACAGTGTCGATTGTTGGCGGTACTGAGGTAATTTGGAATTGCACTCCAATAGGACCCCGCGCGCGGCGCGTGTGGTAGAAACGGGTTTGTTTAAAAGTAGATTCGGCGGAGAAGTCGGTTTTTCGGTGCGCCTCGGCTTAAAAAGTACAGCGCAAAAAATCCGAATGAAATCGGACCCGATTTACCCGGTGCGCACCGCGTTCAAAGTTTCGGAGCGAGCGGGACTCGCCCGTCCGCGCCGCTGCCGCATCATCTTTGAGCGCCCGCCACGCCGCCACGGGTAGCGACAGCGCAACGACACTAGCTGGGAATCTTCGGCAAGTCCCCTTGAGTCCATCGGTACCATCCCGACCGTCATCGGTTACGCCCAACCTTGCACCCAGCTGAAAATCTGAAAATGTCAACATTTTGAGGAGGTGAGGGTTGCCAACATGGCCTAAACGCCCAAAACGAAATTGCCCGCAGTTAGTCCGACCTATGGTCTCATCAGAACCGAGTTCTGAACACTAAGTCCCATAAGCACCCGGGCCCCAGTGGTATGTTAAGCTTGCCGTTGGGCCGTAGGGTGGCCCCCAAACAATCAAAATATTCATCGCTTATCGCATTCGGTGCCATAAACGTTAATTTGTCATACACTTAATAATTCTGACCGCCGTTTGTCTCTCCGAATATTTTGGTACTGTTTTGGGCCACCCTACGGCTCAACAGCAAGCTCTGCGTACCACGGGGACACGGATGCATGAAGGACTTAGTGTTCAGAACTCGGTTTTGCTGTGATCATGGGTCGGACTAGCGGCGGGCATCGTCGTTTTGGGCGTTTTAACAACGTTGGCAACCCTCACCCCCACTCCCTCGAAATGTTAATGTTTTCAGATTTTCAGCAGAGTGCGAGGTTGGGCGTAACCGTTGAGGGTCGGGATGGTACCGACGGATTTAGGGGGACTTGCCGAAGAATCCCAGTAATAGACCATATTCAGTCTCGGCTCCGGGAGAAGAAAACAGGACTCCCGACCGGAACCAGTACCTTTATCCTGCCATTTCTTCGCGAGAAAACTTGCAAACCTAACATAAAAAATTATCACAAACATTGTGGATTGTGCTTCTACCTTCCAAAGCCATTTAAACGTTAAAATAGCGTTATTTTTCGTAACTGGTTCCGGTCGGGATTCCTGTCTTCTTCTCTTTTAGCCGAGACCGAATAGGGTCTATTGTCGTTGCGCTCTCGCTACACTGTAATCTCGATGGGAACACATTTGTGACCATACTAGGCGACATTCCCCTTTTGGCCTCTTCCATTATTGGTCGCCAAACTTTGGCGACATCCGAGATGTGACAATAATTATGGAAACAGATACGTCGCCATGATAGGTCCCATTGAGAACATACTAGGGTATATGTACGCCAGACCACGTCTCGCGTAACAGGCTTCGCGCTTTCTCACGACACACTATTACGCTGCGACGCGCCTGGCGCACACATAGCTAGGCCTGCGGCGCTGACACCCGAGACGGGTTAATATGAGTGTATGTACAATTTTTCGAGATAAAGTGTTTTTATACGATTTAATAGACCATTTGGTCATATTCATCTCATTTGTGTCAAGAAATGCTTCCTTGCATCCAAATGGTAGAGCCAAACGGACGAAATTTTCGTCCATGGGATTCTATGTTCAGGAGTTACCGTATAGGAGACCTGAAAAAATATATGGAAATAAAAAATTTTATTGCCCGTGGTTTTTGATTTTTTTGAGGTAGAGTGCTCATCTTCGAACTCGATCTGTCTTTATGATACCAAACGACCCTGAAATTCCCAGATCGATATCTCAATTCTTTCTCGAGTTATCGTGCGTACAGACGGACAGAGAAACAAGAATTTTTGAAATGATACAGCTGTTAATAAACAAATGTTTTCATTTGACCCCTTGCGAAACTTGTGCCATTTGGCTTGTAACAGCCCACAACAGAAACTACTCGGCACTACCTTGCTGTAAACGTGCAAGAAAAGTGTAGTTAATTTTGTTAGCAACACATTTTGTTCAAAACCAACACTCATAATATTACAACTTTTTTCCAGAAGCAGAACAAAAGTGTCAGTTTTCGGTCAGGAATTTTGTTTCCAAGACTTTTATCAATATTGTCTTTGAACAACATGTTGCTTAAAAACATCATATCAAGTTACTAACAAACTTAACTTTCATTGTTAATTTACAACATTGTTTTAGCCCGCCCTTCTGCTTTGAAAAAGCTATTCAGCGGGCTTATGCAAACGACCTCGTGTGTGTCTGTCTGTCTGTGT